ATATATATATATATATATATATATATATATATATTATAAAATAGAATTTTTATCTTTTTAGTAAATAAAACGAGAATATTATTATTCGTTTTTTCTCTTGTATAGGGAGAGAATGAAATATTTTCTAAAAGAAAAAAAAGAGAATAATTATTATTGCAAATCCCATACTCAGGATATGTTTCCGTATAATAAATTATATTGAGCGACTTTCTACACTTTGTGAAGAAGTCTTCTGTACATTGAATAGAGTAATAAGTACCTTTATAAAAAAAGTACAATGTCTTTTAATTAAGAAATTTGTTCTATGAGAAATTAAGCGTAAGAAAGAAAACGAAGAAAAAGAAGAAGAAAACATTTTTACATTTAAGAAAGTGTTAGGCCAATTACTTCCACTTACTTAAATATATGCAATGAGAATTACTGAAAAAAATTTAAATATAAATATTTCAACAGAATTTATATATATATATATATAGGTATTATTAATTAATATTTGTCAGAATTTATTTTTTAAAGAATTTTTAATTAATATAATAGAATTTAAAAATCCGCCAATCACGATTTTTATATATATATATATATATATATAACTTTTCATTGGTGAATTTTAAATATTTCGGACAAATAAAAATTCACCTCCATGAAGTTGGCGTGGACGCTTAGCGTCGAAAATTATTTTTCATGGGACCAATAATATCAAAACATTTTTTAAAAAGGTTTTGGATCCACAAAATGCTTTGAGAAGTATTTTTCAAAGTATTATTTGCATAGAAAAATTAAAAAAAAAAGTAATTTCAAATTGTTGATTCTGCAAAAAACAATATTCGACGCTGGGCGTCGAAGCCAACTTCAGGGAGGTAAAAATTCGGCGTTTTAAAAATTCTGTACAATAAAAATTCGATACATAAGAATTATGTTAAGTAAAAATTTGTTTAAAAAAAAATTCTAATTAATTCGAATAATAAAAATTTGTCTAAAAAAAAAATAATTATAACTAATAAAATTGTTTAAAATAAAAATTTTCACTAATAATTTTTATCGGATCATTTATCATCATTCGAACTTTTAGAAAATTCAGTTAACTGATAATTCGAACTGTTAATACATTCAAATTTCTTAAAATTCGGTAAATTTGTAATTCGAACTTTTAGGAATTCGATATTTTGAAATTTAGACCAAATTAAGGCGACTCTATTGTAGAAAACAAAGAAATAACAAGAAAATATGTAAATAAAATTTGTTTAATATAATATTTAAAAAAAAATGAAACAAAAATAAAAAAAAAATAATAAAAAAAAATAAAAAAAAAATAATAATAATTTTAATAATTAATAATTAATAATTAATAATAATAATAATATTAATAATAAAATTAATAATTTTAATAATTTTTTTTTCAAAAATAATTTCTTTTATTTTACTGACTACTTGACTTGGATGGATTGTTAAATTTTTTTCCTTACTAAAAATTAATAATAATTGATTTAAAAATTAATTTTTTTTTGAACTTCATATAATAATTCAATAAAAATTAATAATCCAATATATTGTAATTAGAAATCAAAGGTAATAGAAGTGGTATAAATATAATTTTCAAGAAATAATCCATTGTTGCCCGCACTTTCTCCTATAAAATTTTTTCTCCCTGCGCTACTGTATTGTATGTATTCGCTGTGGTAGTATTGAAATATAAAAAATTTTACAACATTATTTTATTTTTTTTCTAATAAAAAAATTTATTATCATTATTGTTTTTCGGAAAATTGTGTCTTATTTATTTATTGATGCTCCTCGTGTTTTCTTTCTCACGTATATATATATATGAAATGGTGTAAACACAAGCGATTTTCTCGCCGATCACGTGGCCTCGAGGGAATTCTCGCGAGATTGTTGCTCCCCCGCAAAAAAAGGTTCAAGGGCTATACAAAAACCGTTGCGAGTGAGTAGACGCACGACCTACCGTAAATCGCGATTGAGTGCGCGACGCGACGCGCCACCGCCGCACTCTGATATACCACACGATTACCATTCAACGGTCTCTTATTCTCACTTCCGCTTTACATAAATTCTTGTATATTTGTCTGACCAAGGGGGCACACGGCATATGTGGCCCGCGGCACTTCTAAACTTATTATTATTATTATTATTATTGTATTTTTTCCATATGGAGAAAAATTACTAAAGTGATAATCCAATAAAAAAAATGTGACAATTGCATTTTTTGAAAAATCATAACAATGTATAAGAAGGATAAAATTTTTTTTTTACCTATATGACTTCGAAATGTTTTTTTACTTTCATTCGAATGACGTTAAATTATTTTTTTAATTCAAAATTTTCTTCTTTTTTGAAAATCAAAAATATTTTTGATTATTTTTTTTAATAAAGGACCATTTTTTTGTTTGTTTTTTTACCCCTTAAAATGAAGCTTAAAATGTATGCTTTTAATTAACTTTTAACGAACAAATTTAACGAACTTTTAACTTTTAACAAATTAAAAACAAAATGTTTTGTTTTTGTTTTCGAGATATTAATAATTGTTAATAAATTTTTTTTTCTTAATTGAAAGTTAACGTAATTCCGCGTTCAACGAGCCCTATATGAAGTATTTCACTTTCATTTTGATTTTGATTTTCACGTTTACTGAAATTTAATTTTTAATTGAGTTTTTAATTTTTCATTGAATTTCAGTAAAAGTGAAAATCAAGGTAAAAATTAAAGTGAAAGTCAATGTCGATGTGTAAGTCAAAATGAAATTACATAATTGCACCCTTGTTAATCTTTTGTTAATTTTTTTTCTGTTTCTGAATTAAGAAAGTTGTCATTTCAAAAGAGAAAACTAATGTTTTCGGACAAAAGTAATGTATAGAGTCTAATATCCATTTTGAAGTTCAAATACCTATTAAATGATGCATAGCTCAGATTTTTTATTAAAAAACCTTTTTTTATTTTCACTAAAATTCACTGTTCTTCCAACTTGTGTTGATTTTTTTTGAGTTGTAATTTCTTGCACTGAAAGAGAAATTTTTATTAAATTTTAGAAAAAGTTTTCGTAAGTAGAAAAAAATTAATTTCTTTATAATTATAAAAAAACATTATAAAATAAATTATAATTTATAATTTGTATTTTAAGGAATTCAATTCGATATAATAATTTTTTAGATGTATTTACATTTAAAATATTTTTTTTTTTTTAAACAAATTTTTACATTACAGAATATTTAGATACCGAATTTTTATTTAACAGAATTCGTATTTTATAGAATTTTTATTTTACAAAATTTATTTTTACACAAGACTATATTTAAAAAAATTCTAATTAAACAGAATTTTAATTCTTAGAATAATTCTCATTCAACAGAATTTAAAATGATTTGGATTTTTAAGTTTAAGTATTTACAATTCATCAAATCTTTATTTGTCCAAATTTGATATTAATATAATATTTGATTAATATAGTATTTGCTATCGGATCTATCAAAATTAGTAACCACAGCTAAATTTTTTGCTATGACAACGAAAAAGTTTACTGTGATAAACAATATCAGTCTTAATTTTTAAAAATTTTCTGTCACAGCAAACTTTTTTGACCCTACAGAAAATTTTTTTCCCCATTCCTTTATTACACGCATAAAAAAATTTGCTGTGGCAGCTATTTATTTGCTGTCACATCAAATTACGTCAGTTAATATAGGGACAGCGAACAAATTTGCTGTAGGGTCAAAAAAGTTTGCTGTGACAGAAAATTTTTGAAAATTAAGACTGAAATTTTTTTATCGTAGCAAAATTTTTCGTTAACATAGCAAAAAATTTAGCTGTGGTTACTAATTTTGATAGATCTAATAGCAAACATCAGTTAGCATCTGTAAGCAATTTTTTTTACATGTAGTTAATATGATTTGATGTGACAGCAAACAGTTCGCTGCCACAGCAAACTTTTTCTATGCGTATATTTCGAATTAATATTTCGATTAAATGAAAATTCTTTTAAATACAAAATTCTAACAAATTAATTTTAGAGATAATTTTTAAAAATAATTTCAAAAATAAATTAAATAATACCCGAATAGATAAAGTTTGCTGTGGCAGCGAACGTAATTTGCTGTCACAGAAAATTACGTTAGCTAATATAGGGACAGCGAACAAATATGCTATGGGAACAAAAAATTTTGCTGTGATAGTATAAATTATTAAAAATTAAGACTGATATTGTTTATCACAGCAAACTTTTTCGCTGTCATAGTAAAAAATTTAGCTGTTGTTACTAATTTTGATAGATTCAATAGCAAACATCAGTTATCATTTGTCAGCAATTTCATTTTTTCCTTGTAATAATAAATAATTAAAAATAATAATTTCATAAAGAAAAAAATATACCAATACTAATTAATTCATTAGTATTAAAATAAGAATTCATAAAAAAAGAATTTAAATTACAATTAAGATTCAAAATATTTAATTTCAAAAAATTGATATAAAAATAGACCGTTTACACCTGCCTTAAAAATTCATTTACCAGTATCCGGAACTTTTAATAGTACCGTGGGTTTTCGACTTGAATTAAAACAAGAAAATCATCATCCTCCCTCAAAAATAGGTAAAATGGAAAATTTTCAAACCGTTACACATCGAATCTCAAAGAAAGAAGAAGAAGAAAAAGTGCATCATCAGTCTTTTTTTTCTATCCCTCCTTTCTCATTCATTGCTGTTAAATATCCAAAAAAGGTCCTTATGCCTATTATCAAAGTGAGTAGTAATAATAATAATACAGTTTCTCAAGGTTGTGTGGCGCGCGCGAGTACAGCACAATCATCAACGTACCGGAAAGTGCCGCCGCAACGCGACGAGGAGCACTTTCTGGTCCCAGAGAGGATTGGCGGAGATGCTGACTAGGATTCCACCGGTAGTCGCGGTTTCTGGTTGGTTGGTAAGTGGGACTAGCGGGGACTCATAGGCAGGACCCCTCCTACGAGAAGCCGCAGTCGGACTCGAACTCCGAACCCATCGCGTTTACAATACGTTCATAATATTTTATATATATATATATATGTGTATAACAAAAACAGTTTTTTTTTTATCAACATAGTGCTTTAATGTACAATTAAAAATAAATTTTAATATTTATTAAAATAATTAATAATATTATTAATATTATAAATATTAAAATAAAATTTAAAAATATATATATTTAACCCCTTACAGCAAATTGACATTTTATAAAATATTTCTTTATAAAAATTGCTGTTTCTGTTTTTTATTGTTAATTTTTTTCAAAAAAAAATTTTTTTGTTTTGATTGCGCGCGGTTTCTTTTTTTCGCCAACCCTCGTGTTTCTCCGAGAAAAGTGAATTCAATTCGGTAAACTTTTATCAATATTCTTCGGCAAAATATTATATTGACAATTGTGACAAGTGCAACAGCGGATTGCCAGTGACAAACAGGTACAACATATATTTATTGCTCGTACCTTGTTATAATTGGATAATATTATTATTATTTTTTTTTGGGGGGTTTTTTTGCCCTGACTTGAAAGAGGTCACAAGTGAGAAAAAAAATTGTGTCAGTGGTTCTGCATTATTCAGTGATTTATTCTTTTTATATATACCACGTGGTGCGTATTTATTATCCTTCTCTGTGTCAAAATAGGTTTTAAATTTTTTTTTTTGCTATTATTTACACTAAAAAAAGGATTTTTTTATACAAATAATTGGTGACTTGATTATTATTAAATAAATATTTATTTGAACCAGATAAATTTTTACTTGAATCAAATAAATGTTTACATGAAGCAAATAAATTTTTATATGAAACAAATAAATTGTTACTTGAAACAAATAAATTTTTATTTGAACAAAATAAATTTTTACTAAAACCAAATAAATATTAACTTGAACTAAATAATTTTTATTTCAATTAAATAAGTTGTATTTGAACAAATAATTTCTATATTTGGAACAAATACTGACTCAAATAATAATTATTTGGTTCGAGTAAATATTTTTTTGATAATAGCCAATTAACCGATTATTTGAATCAGAGAAATTTTTTTTATTTACAGTAAATTTGAAATTATTAAATTGGTACTAAAAGTATCAAATTGAACTAATTTTTTATATGAATTCGATACTTTTGGTATCAATTTTATACTTTTAAATTAACTGTATTTTATTATTATTTTACAATTATATATAGAGGGTGATTTAACTAATTTTACTAAATATTTATTTAACTTCAGTAAATATCTAACAGACATTAGTATACTAAATTGATTGCAAAAAAAATTTAAGTGATTTCAGTAATTATATTATTTAACTTATTGAACTAAATATTTATTAGTAAAAATTTATTATTTTTAATTATTTTAGTAATTTATTAATAATTTATTAGTAAATATATTTACTAAAGTTAAATATATTTTACAGATTTTAATACTAAATTGATTGTAAAGAAAAATTAAATTGATTTTAGTAAATATTTACATGAATTTAGTATAATAAATACATATAGGTAATTGATACAGTTTTTTTGGACCAAGACAATATATTTCCAAAAAATAGTTATATGTACCTACATTTAAATTAATTTCCTTTTAAAATTAATTATTTTCGAAATCCATAAATAAATTTTTTTTTTCATATTAAATATTTTTTTTATCTAAAAGTCAATTTAAGAAAAAAACTTTCATTTTCTTATCTTAATGAAATTCATAAATAAAAGTTTTTATTATTTTCATTTACAAGTTGGATTTAATGGAAAAAAAAACTTTCATTTTTTTAAATTAATTTTTTCAATCATTTAAATTTTTTTTTTTAATCATTTTTTTAAATCAATACAAATACAGTCATTTGACACAAATAAAATATGTATCAGATAAAAAGGGAGGAAACGCTATATATATATATTGAACGCTGCAGTATAAATCTATGGACTGTTGTTCTTGATAAATAGGTATTCAATGGGGGAAATAATTTATGCGCTTTAAATAAGACGTTATTCTCTCTGTGGCCGTGCGAGTTTATATATTAAAAACTCCGTAGACAATGGTTTTGTTTCTTCAATATATAAAACCGGTGAAATAGTGTTTATAATTAACTTGCAAATTATTATAGCGATCTTTTTTGAATAATTGTAAATTTATATATTCTATATTTAAGTGGAACTAAATTTTACTCCTACATTTATTAGGTCAGAATATAATTTCTATATCTATATGCGTAAATAAATATTCTTCGTTGTAATAAATTTATATTTCGCTTTATATTTTATATTATTAATTGTTTTCATTAAACTGATTTTATTATACCGTTATTATTTCTCTTTGTTATCAATATATAATTTCATTTCGAATACATATATTATGTAGAGAAAAACGGTTTCCTCCCAGAGACGAAAAATTATATCCAACACTAATCTATTTATTTATAATAAATTTTATTATTATTATTATTATTATTATTATTATTACGTTATTTATTTATTTACACGGAAAAAAATAAATTAGTTACAGATGCTAACGAATGTTTGCTGAAAAAATTGCTACAGCAACTATAAAATGTTTTCTAAAGCTGCTAATAATTTAGTTGTAAAACTATTATTAAACATAACCTAAAATTTCTTTACCATAAGGTCCTTCTCCTCGTGAAGCATCAAATGTATTTAATTACGAAAAAAATTTTATAGAAATAATTTTAATTTTTTTCTAATTTAATTAATTTATCAATTACATTATATCAAAATTTGAAAATTTGATTTATTACTTAATTGGAATATTATAATTTTTAATGGAGCAAAAAAAAATGAATTTTTTGTACTATAATAATCTTCTGCACTTGAACTGCTTGTCAATATAAAACCTTAAGAAAGTTTAACCGGTAAACTATCTTCTTGTATAGGTACTTGAAAACTTCCGCTTTCACGGTTAGTGAATACTGAACTAATCCCTTTTAATTACTGATAAAAGTTTTATAGCAAAGAAGTTTAAATCCAGTTTATGTATGTATGTGTATAATGGTATATATATATGTATGTATATATTATATTGGCATCGAAATGCCGTTCGGGCGTAACGAAAGTGCAGTACTACATAAGGATTGCAATTGAAATGTCATTTCAAGAAATATAGTGTGAATCAGTGCGAACGTGCAATGTGCATATAACTTATATAACGGCGTGCGTGTTATTCCCTTTGAGTAAAAAAAAAGAAATATATACATATATGTATACCTAATAGTCAAGCAATTTCAATAAGTGGGTAATCTTCACTTTTTCCAATGAAAGCGATCTACAATAATCTTTAAATTATTTTTTAGTTAAATTAACAAGAATTTATGCTTAACAGAATTTTTATATATCTAATCAAATTTTTAAAATGGAACGCATGATTATGTTTTAAAAATGATTAGTTAAAATTTTCATTTTATGGAATTTCATTTGTTATAATTATTTTTTTATGCATAAAATTGTGATTTGTTGATTTTAAAAATCGCGCCAAAATCGATTGTTTGTTTGGCCATTTGCAATTTCGGACAAATGAAAATTTTATCAATTAGAAATTCTGTTAAATGATTTTTCGCTTAAGTAAAAATTCTGTAGTATTAAAAATCGGTTATAGGGAAATTATATCAAATAATAATTCGAACAAATGAAAATTCATCTGAATGAAATTTCTATGCAATGAAATTCTACCCAATAAAAATAAATTCTTTAAAATGCCTATTATGTTAAATGAAAATTCAAGCAAATAAAAAATATCACAAATAAAAATTCTGTGAAGTGAATTGTAAAAATTCTGTAATATAGAAAATCGTTTTGATAAAAATTCTGCAAAATACTAAATCGAACGAACAAAAATTCGGTTTAAAAATAATTATGACAAATGAAATTCCATAAAATAAAAATTCTAACTAATAATTTTTAGAACATAATCATGAAAACCATTTTAAAAATGACCTATCAGAAGCTGTCAAGAAAATTGTAATTGGTCAATTTTAAAATTGACGCCGAAATATTTCTGCCGTTTATAATAGATATCTTTTTTTATTTTCTCGAATTTTAATTGTAAGTTAAGTTTGAGGTGAGAAGGAGTGTGTATATCTTTATATCTTTATAGTCAATTGATTACGTTCATTTATATATCAATCAATAATTGTAAAATGTAATTCTGGTAATCAAGTGCAACCCACTAATTTTCGGACTTAAGTAATGTAGAGTCTAATATCCATTTTGAAGTTCAAATTCCTATTAAATTATGCATAGCTCAGATTTTTTATTAAAAAACCTTTTTTTATTTTCACTAAAATTCACTGTTCTTCCAACTTGTGTTGATTTTTTCTGAGTTGTAATTTCTTGCACTGAAAGAGAAATTTTTATTAAATTTTAGAAAAAAATTTTCCTAACTACAAAAAAATTAATTTCTTTGTAATTATAAAGAAAAAATTATAAAATAATTTATATTTTAAGTGCAACCCTCTAATGGCTCAAGGAGACCGCGAATTCACCATTGTACTAAATAAATAAATAATAAAGAAAAATTCAATAAAAATAAAAATTAGAAAAAAGCATCAGAAATTCATATAATATTAAAATCTGTCTTTATAAATTTTTATCTTGTTAAATTAAAATTTTCTTTCAAGCATTTAAATGAATAGAATTTATAGAAAGAAAAAAAAAATTTTTCCCGAGTTGGAAAATTGTCTCAAACTTTACAATATATATATATAACGTGCTTTTAATATTAAAAAACTTTATTAGTATACATATACATATCTAATATCAACAACTTTTATATAAAATTTTTTTTATTATTAAAAAAAACGATGATATATTTTAATGAAAAGAAATTATAAAGGTTTCTTATTCGTTGAATTTAAAAAGTCGGACAAAATATTTTAATATCACAACTCAGATTCACTTTTCTCAGAAAATCTCTTTTATATACCGATATTATATTTTATGTATATAAATATAGTTTTTCATATTTCAATGTATTAAATTAGATATGTATTTTTTACAACTCAAAATAAGAAAAAAGAAATCATTAAATTATTTCCACTCAATATAGACTATTTTTCCAAGAAATAATTCCTTGAATTTCTACTCTCTCCTCCTTTTTTTATTTATTATATATATATATATATATATATAGATAGATAAAAAAAGAGGTCTTAATCTTTTTGCGAAACCAATAATCTCTTGGCGAAAATTGTTACGATCTTTTGCCGTTTTGTCTGTAAGAGGAGATCTCTCGCCGGAGCCTTTGTTGTTGTATATTATATAAAGGGCAATAGGAATAGGAACAAAGACATTGGAATCTCAGATTATCGATATCCCTAATACGCGGAGATAAATGAAAAGCGGCACTTGTTGTCCAAGGCCTCTTATTATCTAATGAGTAGAGGAGAACTGCATTGCTTTTATATATATATATATATATTTATACCTT